AGAGAGAGAGAGAGAGAGAGAGAGAGAGAGAGGGTTAAGTCAGGATTTTCCAATCGATACCAAAATCACTTGCTTCTCCCTGGAGACCCTGAAGGCCTCACCCGGGGCCAAGTTCAGGCGTTTGTTCTGTCCGTCTTTCATCACACGTCAACTACAAATGTTACGCTGCCTCTGCCCAATGAAAAACCTGTTCACGAAACCAAGGCAAAGTATGAACGAACGGTCGCCTTGTCTCTGGGATCGTTTGGTTGGCCTGGCCTGGCCTCTTTGATCACAGTGAAATGAGTCGTCTTCGTTAACGATGTTTCCCCAGGAAAAGAAATTAGCTAAAGAGCAGGAGACGATGATTCCAGAGGGTGACGGACTGATGACGGGGGTGTGGGGGGGTCGGGGGGGGGCAGCAACGAGGGGGCTGTTAAAGTGAGGAAGATAATTGAAACTCTTTGAACTTTGGTTCTTTTCGCTCCAGGGCTTGTCGTTGTCGTACATTTAGTTCCTCCAACTTTTTCAAGGACGATGTGACTGGATTCCAAAATGAACCTCAAATGTGATTTTGATCCATTTTATTTGAGAGTTCGGCCCCCAAGGTGTTTGTCCAGCAAAATTCTGGGCCTTTGACAAATACAGGTGGTGTAAATGTCATGACATCGTCATGACAACGTCTGGTTTTTTCCCTCAGATCTAAAGAAAAACCCGACCCCCGGTTTGAGGAGCTGCCTCTTAAGATTTCCGTGTTTTTTCAGCGATCGTTCTTCGGTGAACTACTCTGTCGTAACCACATGGTTTATAACCCTAACTTTCTGGGAGGTTTGGGATGAGCAGTTTCTAGCGTTTATTAAAAACGAAATGTTTTTTACAAACTTTTTTCTCTCCTAAATCTCCTCTTTTTGGAGGTTTGGTTTTTGTCTTCTGTGTTTAGCCGATGTGATTCAGTTCTTTCCAAGTGTTGCCACATTCTACAAAAAAAAAAAAGAAAAACACAACCAAAAAAACAACTTTTATTTCTGTAAAAGGTGCAGAACATTTACCCGCTGTGCTGTAAAAATTATTATTAGATTCACTGAGGTTTTTGACAGAACACGCTGTCACCGAAAACTGCTGGTCCTGTTTATTTACTCTGAGGCACAAAATAAGGTGCTGAGTAAAGTCAGTGACAGGTGAAAGGAATGTAGGGAT